AAGATTTATTCCTGCTATGGCTGAAATAACACAACCATTCAATTCATTACTAAAAAAGGATGTCAGGTTCATTTGGAATGAGGAACACCAACAAGCATTCGAATGAGTGAAGTCAGCTTTAACATCCCCTCTCTCCATGACTCCTCCTCAACCGGCAAGGCCCTTACTCCTCTACATCACTTCCACGCCGAAATCAGTCGGAGCTCTGCTCGCCCAGGAAATTGACGGACTTGAACGACCCGTGTACTACATAAGCAGAGTCATCCAAGGGGCTGAGATCCGATATTCCCCCATTGAAGGGCACTGCCTCGCCCTAGTGTTTGCTGCCAAAAAGCTCCGCCATTACCTTCTTTCTTACCCTATCCATATCATGACCAGAAGCGATCCTATCCGATTTCTCCTCACTAGACCAGCGCTCTCCGGCGGGCCAGCCCGTTGGCTCCTATCTTTAGCAGAATATGACATTACTTGCAAAGCTCCCAAGGCCATTAAGAGCCAAGCGCTAGCCGACCTCCTGGCTCATTTCCCCAGCGGAGAACATGAGCCGCCCTCAGATGAGCTACAAGGAAATGAGTTCCAAGCTGCTGAAGTAAACGCTAAAGGAGAATGGAGTCTGAGTTTCGATGGATCATCCACCTCCAAAGGGGGAGGAGCTAGAGTAGTTCTTACTTTCCCAAACCTAACCGAAGTCAATTTGTCATATAAACTGGATTTTCGATGCTCTAACAATGAGGCAGAGTATGAAGCCCTGATACTGGGGCTTTTGGCAGCACTCCATCTAGGAGTAAGTCTCTTATGTATCAAAGGCGAGCTCCCCATTCAAACAATTTCGAACAAGTTGAAACTATATCCAGAATGTACACAAACTTCTTTGAATTCATACCAATATAAAATATTGGACGCAATAAGGTAATGTTCAAGTAGAGGGAGGCGCTAAAATAAAAAATAAAAAAAATAAAATATATATATAAATAAATAAATAAAATAATGTATATATATACACACATATTCAGGATTGCACCTTTCCAAAGATGAATCCTTAAACCAATCAAACTCTTTGCTACAGACTGCAAATACCTTAAAGTCTTCAAAAAGTCACTTTACTAATAGCTGCACAAGCTATCACATTATACTATGAGCAACTCCAAAATCAGTAGGTCTGCTCTAAACCTATAACTTCAATTCATGAGTTGTCTTCTCCATGGATCGCCCATTCCCAATGTAAAGCTACAAAAGTTAGTAAATTCACATCCTCTTTCCCAATGCAATCTCATCTTTATAAGAGAGCAAATACGGGACACCAACAAAAAAACACAAGCAAATTCATATTCACTCGCCAACACTCTTCTCTTAACTTTAACAACCCATTCTCTCTAAACGGCTTCCGGAAGAGAGGGGCACCGAGATAACACCGTTTGGCGGCCGGTGAACAAGGCTCCAAACCCAAGAGGTCCAATCTACAGAGCTTCAAGCTCCAACTCTAGAGCTTCAAGCTCCACTCCTACTCACCGCCGCCGCCCGGTGTGTGAATTCTTTCAAAAGATGCTCTCCATGCCTCCATGGCAATTCCAAGATCAGTTATTTGAATCCCCTTGGATCCAACACCCAATATCTGCTCATACCGTCGTAGAGGTGCCGGAAGAATTCCGGGGTAAAATAAGAGGACGGTACAAGGCACTAACCATTCTAGAACTTTACACAATACCACTGTCCCATACTTGGTTTTTGCTAAACCAAGAAATCAACCTCACTCTCCAGGGATCCACCTGCCAGGCAAATCAGGTGTTAGTCCCACATTTCGAGAGGATCCGCATCAACATCCTCTCGCAAAGACCGACAGAGAGAGATCTAGACCACCACATCTCCATCATGTCAGCACCACTGGAAAATCCAAATGAAGATTTGGGACTTGGGTGGGACATAGAGAGCTTTGCAGATCTCAACATGGGTGAAGAGAGCGCTTCCCGCAGTGCTCAGCCAAACATTCCGCTTAACATCCTCTTCTTCAACACTGAGGGCGTCGCTCGCCCTAACTTCCTCCAACACTACATCACCTACATTCTAACGGACGGTTCCACCTCGTCATCATCACAAACACAAAAAAAGAGGGAAGCAAGGCCCAGTTCATGAGCCAAATCATGGGCTTTCCTAACACCAAGACCATTGCCCCCCCTCCTAGCGGCATGGAAAGGGTGAGGGACGGAATCTGGTGCCTATGGAACGAAACCGAAATCTCCTGTGAAGTAATGGAAATTCCACGGAATCAAGCCATCGCCCAACAAGCCCACATCTTTATCCGACCGGCTTGCACCGGATGAAATTTAATATGTAAACTCTCCATGAGCAATCCAAATGCCTCCATTGTATCAAAAACCTCTATCTGAATACTTGTCTGCATGAGTTAATATTTTTCAAAACTTTTTAACATAGTCATGTACAAATACTCTCATTAGCTATAAGAGCATCTGTACAGGGGGCATTATTGTGGGTACTTGTATCAAGCTCAATACGTGGCAAGCCCTACAGGTGCCACATCACCAAAACCCCACCCACATGGCAGACCAATAAGGCACCACGTCAGGCATATCGTATGTTTGATACATGGCGAGCCCTATGGGCGCCATGTGCCAAGGCTACCAAAACTATATGCTTAGCCTAAGCGAGAGCATATATACAAGCCCAAATATATCTAGATATGAAGAGCCCTGCAATAGGCAGCACCATGGCCCCGCAAGGCCCATGGTCCTTCATACCTCGCTCCAAGACCAAACAACAATACAATCAGCCCCCGGCTCACTTGGACTTAGATTGATAAACAATGGCTCTCCTAAACATTGAGATAAGCCCGCGGCCCATTCTCCTACTTGGTCGCTTGGAAGCGAGCCCCTAGCTCTCTTAAACACTAAGGTGGGCCCTGGCCCATTTATCTACTTGGATGCCTAGATTGGGAGGAGGACCCAAGCACTACTGCTCGGGATCATCAGAGGATACTGGACTGGCGGCTGAGGTCATGGGATCGTTGAGATGGTTGTCTTCTTGCTAAGACAACTCCATCTCGACCAGGCTTGGAGAAGAGGCAACAATGACCTTACGTTCATGTCATCCGATGCATATACGAAACGTTATTTTCTGCCAGCCATGAAACGTTGCTCTCCGCCTGCCGTCAAGCCACAGACGGCAGAAGGGCTTATATCACTTGTGGCAGAGTTGAGGAGAACGAGCCACCTGTCCAACAGTTTGCTTGGGCTCCAATACTCTTGTGGCCTATATAACGTATCGTATATGCAGCGAGACACAACAACAACAATACAACCAAGTCTCATGCTTAAACACCCTCTTTCACTTTACATTAGTGTTCAAGGTCTATCACTGCCAACCTCTCCCTCTCCAAGCTTGCCTTGATCTCTTCCTCTCCACCTCCGGTGATCCCAAGCCATTGAAGTGCCCGCCATTTTCCCGGACTACCTCTAACCACACCTCTCACCCACAATATGCATCCTATATCACAATCACCAACTCCATGGGCAAATAAACCCCAAAAACAATTATATCCCTTTGTATTCCAAACAAATGGTTCCGATTAAACTAAGTGTACAATTTTTATTTTTGTTTTTTTGCTTCTTTTTTTTTTTTTTTTGATAAATAAGTACAATTTTTATTTAAGTTTCTGAATACTTTAAACTGCCACATTCCTCTTGGAAAATAAAATAAAATAGACTACTCCTGTATGTTACTAATTATTAATCGAGAAAGGGAAATAAAACTAAGTGTTGACAGTACTTCAATTTATGATTGACCAAACAGCTTAGAGTTAGACTAGGTTTGCATAGGCATATTAAAATTATGTAACAATTAACAAACATATTTGAAAACTCCAACAGCCAGCCTTTTTATAAGTTACAAGTGTCTCGTATAAACTAAAATTTGCTTACACTCGTTTGTTTGGACGGAAAATATTTTCTATAGAAAACATTTTTCAAAAAATGTTTTCCAAAGAAAACATTTTTCTATCTTTGGTGGTAGTGGTGGAGGTGGTGGCATGGTGGTGGAGGTGAGAGTGGCGGTGTTAGTGTGGTGATATTGGTATGACTTTAATCCGAAAAATGTTTTCTACTTTTAAACGTAAAAAATATTTTCTGTCCAAATAGGCTTGTTTTTGTTGAGGATGAAAACTATTTTCAGTTGACTTTCATTTTCAATTATACTAAACACTAGAAAATACATAAAACATTTTCCAAAAAAAAATTTCCGCCCAAATAGACAGAGCGTTCGTAACAAGTATGCCCAATTTAGTCCCCCATTGGTTGGGGGTGGTATAGGAGAAGCACACTTAATTGAATATAGACCTAATCTTTGACATAATTTATACACAAGTGGCTGCCTTCATGTTCTAACCCACATCCTCAATCTTGGTAGAAGCTTATGTTGCTTTATATGAAAAAAATAAATGAAGAAAGCAAAGAAAATAGGATCACTCTGGAGGTTCTTTGTTGCCAATTTCTAGAAAGTGGCAGAAAATTTAAATAATTTTCTTTTTACCATGTTTTCTCAGCAACCAAACAGAAAATGGGGGAAAATAAAAAGAAAATGAAGAAGAAAATGTAAGATCAAATGACAAGTCGAAAGCCCATTAACCAAGGAGACCCAAAATTCCAAAATCTTACTAAGGCCTCGTTTGGGAACAGGCTAATTTAGTAACTTTTTGGCTAATTGGCTAAAAAGGTAGGTAAAAAAAATTTGTATGTTTGGGATGACTTTTTGACTAATTACGAAAAGTTGTGCAAAAAGTAGAGATAAGCCGTAATTGTTGACTTTTTGGTATGACTAATTGGCTAATTGGCTAATTTAGTAACTTTTTGGCTTTTTGGCTAAAACAGAGCCTTCCCAAACGAGGCCTTAGGCCTTTTTCTTTTCCTTGCATTTTCTCACCGACCAAACACAGAGTAGACAGACAAACAAAGAAACAAGAAAGTAAAATTGAGGAAACCCAATAGGCAAACCTCAATTACGGACGAATTGTCAGTCCGAATATCATTCCAAAGCTTCTGGAAAATCTCGGCGCTGCGGTAGACCGACCCAGGTGAAGGATTCGGGTGCATCATAAAGGAAAAGGGAGCGACGTACATGATCAATCCCGAGACGTACAGAAGAGGCAAGAAGTACCGAAGGAGGCCTCGCCGGGTGAATATTCCGGCGACAAAGCTATCCCGGCGGGACACCGAATGAGCTTTTTGGGGAAGGCGTCGACGGCTGATGTCGCCGGAGTAATCATTGACGGCGGCGCTGTAGTGGTGGGTCTTGGGTTTCATGGGTGGCATTGGCTTGCTGTTTCAGGCCATGCAGGAGAGAGAGAGAGAGAGAGAGAATATTAAAAAAAAAAAAAAAAAAACTAGATAGAGCGCGCTAGAAGGTGGAGCCGAGAATGTCGGAGTTGTACGTATAATACGTCTAGTGCTAAGATCCTCTAAAATTGAAGTAAGGGTACGTTTGTTTTGATGAACTGGATACGGGGTTATAATTTATTGAATTGTTGATTTTGAGTTATATTATTTTTTGATTATTTAGTTAGATTAGATTTATACTTTATATTTGCTTCATCATGAAATTAGATGTTTAAATTAAATTATTATATTAAATCTTATGTTTGTTTGAAATATTATGAAGAATAATACATGCTCAAAAGATTATTTTACTCTTTTGAATTATTTACTAAATAATAGAAATATTAAATCTGAATTATAAATTTTATTTTACTTTTTTACTAGAACTTTTAAAAAATTAAATAAATAGGATATTAATAAAAATTACATAAATTTATTTTTATTTTAATTGAGATTTTTAAATTTTCTTTTACTTTACTATATTTTTCTAAAGTATAATTAATACCATATTATTAAAATAAATAATTTAATAAGGTATAAATAATTTAATAAATAAATTTTATTAAGTATAAATAATTTAATGAATAAATTTTATTTTTAAAAAGATATTAAATAGTAGAGAGTCAAAATGTAATTTCACTACCTAATTTCTTGGGATGAGTTATCCTATGATTGTGTCTCCCCATAGAATATAACAATTCCATAGATTTGAGATTCATAGTCCGGATGAACTATATCAAACAACAAACTATTAATCTAGATGGACTATTAGTCATATCTTATTATTGAATTCTTCCAAACAAACACCATCTAAAGGGACTGGACTCTCTCGAGTGATTCATCGGATTGGACCAGTTGAGTTCATTGAATTCACTTTTTGGTCTATTTTAATAATTTGAATGATTTATATTTTAGGATTTATAGAATATATTACTTTGTAAAAACTTAAGTCAATCGAATAATAAAAATTACGTATTTATATTAATTTTATATGGATCGTTTATTTTTTACTTTTCATTTTTTTCATATAAAATTGATCCCAACAAGTACTTGTCGTTATTTGATTAACTTAACTTTTTATAGAAATGATATATTCAATAAATTTTAAAATGTGAACAGTTTAAATTATTAAAACGAGATTCAAAAATAAACTCAGGCTTCGTTTGGGAAGTGGGTTGACTCTTTTTTTTTTGGCTATTTTAACCTATGGTTAAAAAGTCTAGTTTATGAAGGACTTTTGAATTTTTTTATTTTTTTGTAGGAGAAAGAATGTAATGATTATGAATTAGATATGATGTTTTATCTTATTGAATCAAAAAACTTATTTTATTTTTTGTGACTATTTTAACCAAAAAAAACCCCAAATCCATCTTTCCAAAAAGTGGCTCAATAAGCCCAACAATACCATCTCCAATCCAATTTAGGAAGAGTGAGGAGCAAATCCTAAATTAAACTGATACCATGCTTGTGACTAATACCATGCTTGGTTATCATTTTTTAAAAATATTTTTCAGAAAATTTTATTTTCTTATTTTCTATATTTTTTTATTTTTACTGAATTTTTTTAATATTTTGAGCAATTTTTTTAATTTTTAAACATACCTAACGTAAATATACCTAAAAAGTAAAAACAAATTGAAAAAAACCTTTTAAAAATTCACTAAATACCAAAAATATATAAAAAAAAAATACGAGAATTCAATACATTTTTTATATTTTTATGTATTTATTAATTTTTAAAAATATTTTTTACAAATTTTTTACTTTTTAGATACATTTAAGTAAGGTGCATCTAAAAAATTTTTTTAAAATGTTTAAAATTTTAAAAATATTCACTAAAAACAAAAAAATACGAAAACCAAAAAACTCAATTTTCAAAAAACTTAATTCAAAAAACTCAAACCAAACACACATATTTGGGTAAGTTTCTCTGAAGCCCGTTGTATAATTCTAAAATTACACTATCACCCCTTTCACATAAAACTATTCAATAATTCATTAATCTTATAAATAAAAAAAGAGTTAATTACCTAAAAATTATATTTACAAATGTTACAATAGCTCAGGTCATATTTAAGATTTTTTTGAACTAATAAATCATGTTTAGTAAATTTGAGAATATTATCAATTTTTACCAATTTTTAAAACTAAGAAAATTATTAATTTTGCATATTAATATTTTAGATAATTATTTTATTAACTGATGAAAAAAAACAAAGCATGAGACGTTTTTGCCCTTATACTTATTGATTTGATTCAATTATCTAACAAAAACCAAGAATATTAACAGTTTTTCCAGTTTGAAAACATTATCAAATTTTTCATTTTTAAAGTTTTTTTTTTTTTTTTAGTTTTGCACATCAATGTTATATCATCATGTATAGATACAAAAATTTTAATTTTGCACAAAAAAATAATTCAATTTTTTCAAAAATTTTTTTTTTTTTGCACATAATTTTTTTTAGTTTTTTCAATTTAAAAGTTGATATTTTAAAGTTTTGAAAATCAAAATAAACGTCAAATTATCATATTCTTTTATAGATAATCATAAATGATAAATAATCATTATTTGAAGGGCAATTCCGACTATTAAAAATTTAATGGAACTTAAAAACCTAAAAAATCTTAGTTAGGACTTAATAAAGTATAAGTTCATAAATTAAAACTTGTATGTAAATGTCCCATAAAAAAATAGTAGTCATCCTTTTTTTTACTAAAATGTATATTTATTTTTTTTTTATTTCAGTATCTACCACCTACATTAATTTTCAATCACTTTAACTTTACTAAAAATAATGTTAATTTAATTATATTAAAAATATGAAACTAATTAACGTTTAGTTTTATTTTAAAATCATGATTCTAATAAAAGAAAATTTCAAAATTTCTTTTAAAACTCATAACTAAATACTCAATTCAAAATTATTTTCAAAACTCATAGCAAAACTCTTTCAAAACTCTATTTAAAAAAAATTTTAAAAATATTTTTTTATTATGTTCTTTAAATTTTTATCCAAATTATTTTTTATTTTTTTGAAAAATATAATTTTTTATTTTTGAAGAAAAATATATATATATTTGTTTTTCAGAAAAAAAAATAGTTTGTTAATTTTTTAAGTATTGGCCAAATAATTTGTTATGATTTATATATATATATATATATGGGCGATTCAAAAAAATTTAAATTAAAAAATAATAATATTTTAAAAATATTTTAAAATTTTAAAATGATAATATAATATATTAAAAATAAATACAGCACACAAATATAGTAAATACAGCGCACATTAAAAATAAATAAATATTTGCAAAAAAAAAAATAGTTATCTTAGAAATATAAAATCAAGACATTTTTTAAATATTTAAAAAAAGTTAAACGAAAACAATTTTAAAATAAAATTCAAAATTTATAACCAAATAAATTTTTTTTAAAAAAATTTATTTCAAAAATTTGTCTTTTAAAATATAATTCCATATTTAAATCATAATTTTAAAATTAAATCAAACCAAATATTTTTCTCTAATGCCAAGAAAGGCATCGTTTCACCTTTTCCTCTTCCTTTATTCCCTTCAAACAAAAATTTCTCACTCGCTCTCTCTATCTCTCTCTCTCGCTCTCTCTTAAACAAAGGAAAAATTGTCACCTACCGCCCACTCCCAATAACCCTGCCTCCACTAACTTCCTGTCACCCTTAGGCTTGTTTGGGAAAATTACAATTTAGTGGGGTTTTCTTAAATAATTACAATTTAGTGAAATATCTTATCACTCTTATCATAACCAAATAAATTTCTTCTTTTTAAAATTCATTTCAAAATTTTGTTTTTTAAAATATAACTCTATATTTAAATCATAATTTTAAAATTAAATCAAACCAAATATTTTTCTCTAATGCCAAGAAAGGCATCGTTGCACCTTTTCCTCTTCCTTTATTCCCTGTAAACAAAAATTTCTCTCTTTCTCTCTCTCTTAAACAAAGGAAAAATTCACCTATCGCCCACTCCCGATAACCCTTCCCCCACTAACTCCCTGTCACCATCAGGCTTGTTTGGGAAAATTACAATTTAGTGGGATTTTTTTAAATAATTACAATTTAGTGAAATATCTTATCAATTTTAATAATTAAAGTCGTGAATTTTTTCATAAATATATAATTATTTTGAGAGCACTTCATTGATTTGCAATTTTCACGACTTGTTTTGGCAACACACAAAATAAGTAATTTATTAACTTATTTTAAACACATAATCTCTTTATTTTATTTTTTTTAAGTATTTTCATAATAAATAAATAAATAATCAAAAATAAACCATACCTAAACCAACAGTACCACCAATCAAAACCATCATCCATAGATATAACCAAAATGCTTTAGACCACTAATTAGTGGTGGCTCTAGTGATATGGCAGTGGGTGCCACATGTGTTTTGTGCCTTGTTTTTTTTTTTTTCTTTTTTTTCAATTGCCACCTCACTAGTGGTGGGGTTAGTGATGATAAATTAGTGGTCTATAGCATTGCCCTAGATATAATTGACTTAGCACTCGTTTGGCATAGTAAAATTTGGGATTAAAAGGTTATTTTAATCATAAAAAGACAAAATAGATTCAAAAAGTCCATAAGGCAAAATATCACATCTAAATTATAATTATTTCATTTTTTCTCTCAAAAAAGTCAAATAATTTATCCCAAACGAGACTTTTTAGCTCCAAACTAAAATAGCAAAAAAACTAATTTACATCCCAAACGAACCTTAAAATAATTAATTTTACATCAATTACGGCATTCTTTTGAAAGATCGTCTCAACCATAAAATGTTAAGAGTTAAAAATCAAAACATAAAAAATATACACACTAGATGAATCTTAATCGCACAATTTTATTTTGTTTAAGGGTAAACTAACATATTATTCGTGCTATACACAGGATTTTATGATTTCAAAATGAGTCGTTGTTCAAAAACTTGTAAGTGATCCTTCTTATCAAATGATTCTAAATATGACTTGTTGGAAAA